TACCCAGGAATACAGAAGATTTTCAATTACAAAAAATAATTCATTTTACTATAGGATCCGTGGAGTCCAACCCTAACTCCAGAACCCTGACCAATGGGCCATTGTTTCAGAATTTCAGAAGAAGCACTAATGTTCATTATATTATGTATTTCGTTTGTCTGCTAAATACAGGAGCAGAGATGTTCAAAAAAATAATGCATGTTCACTATAGGACAAATAGAACCCCTCCCTAACATCAGATCCCCCCAGGGTCCGCACCCAGAGGCTATGAATTTCATAATTTTGGAAGAGGCACTCTCGCTCTTTGAAAACATACCGGTATGATCAATAGGGCTTCATCCTAACTCCAGAAGCCCTGTTTCAGGGACCATGAATTTCACAAGTTTGAAAGAAGTAGTTCTTCTTATCCAACTATGCACTTAGTTTGTCTGCTTAATACACAGGAAGAGAATATGTTCATCCCCCCAGCCCTCCTTACACCAGAATCCCTGAATTAAGGGCCATGATTTTCATAATTTTGGAAGAGGCATTCTTGCACCTAGTTTGTCTGCTTAATGCTCAAGAGCAGAGAAGAAGATTTTCAAAGAATTAAGGATATGACACAAACAAAAATTTGATGCAAGGGTTGTATTTTCTGACTGATTTTGAATAGAAATGACATAAATAATAAATACCTAAAATATAAAGAAATCTTTGGTACAGTATTTAGATATACGCGACTTGTTTTCTATATAATTCTATACAAAATTTTAAACACATCAACTTGTGACAAAATCTTACTAAATTCTCCAACTTTACCTGGCAAACATTATTCAGGTTACCTATTTGAATATAAATCTATGTAATTTCTGAAAAAGTTTGTGTTATTTATCCTTAATGGATTTTCACCATATCAACAAAAGAGCCCCACCCGTTACTCCAGAACCCCTGAACTATAGAGGTAATGAACTTCACTATGGGGCACCGTTGTTCATCATATTATTCACTTAGTTTATCCACAGAGGGAGAGAAGAATTTAAGCATTTTCACTATATTATCATTAGGGTACCGCCAGTGGCGTAGCTAGCAAAACTAGAATATGTCCATAGGATATGAATGCCCCGCCGAGTGTGTATTACTAATGCAACATGAAAATCATAAGTATTAGTGTATGAAGTTTGATGAGAATATCTTGAAAAGTTTCTTTAAAATTGAAATCTAAAAAGTTGGATATAGATGATTAATTATCACCAAATTATGTATAGATGCATAAAAATATTTCTTTAAAACTAGCAAAATGCAAATTAAAGAAAAGTGAGGCCAAGGTCACAGGAAAGTGCAAGGCCAAAAGTTTTTTATGCAGCTCTCACTAAGTCGTATCAGCATATTTAGTTTGATAAAAATATCTTGAATGGTTTATTAAAACTGAGCTAAACTCTAGTTTTAAAAAAGTGAGGTCAAGGTCAAAGGAAAGGCCGAGGTAAAAAAAATGTTGATGTAGTTGAAAAGCTCACGTCAGTATGTATTAGCGTATGAAGTTTGATAAAAATATCACGAATGGTACCTTTAAAACTAAGCTAAAGACAAATTAAAGAAAAGTGAGGTCAAGGTCAAAAAATATTAATGCAGTTGAATAACTTACATCAGTATGTATCAGCATATGAAGTTTGATAACACTATCCTGAATGTTTTTTTGTTTCAAACTGAGCGAACCACTAATTAAGAAAAGTGAGGTCAAGGTCACAGGAAAGGTCAAGGTCAAAAAATGTTGATGCAGTTGATAGCTCTCATCAGTATGTATCAGCATATGAAGTTTGATAAAATATATCTTGAATGGTTTATTTAAAACTAAGCTAAACAATTTAAGAAAAGTGAGGTCAAGGTCAAGTTCCAAAAATATTGATGCAGTTGAATAACTCTTATTAATATCTATCAGTATATGGAGTTTGATATTAATATCTTGAATAATTTCTTTGAAACTGAGCTTTGAACTGATGTAAACGTAAAGCGCGACGGAAGGACGGAAAGATGGAAGGACGGATATGACAAACTCTATATGTCCCGGGTATATTCATGGTGGGGCATAAAAATTACTGCATTCGAAAAAAGGCAAAGGTCTGGGTCCGCCTTGAGGTACCAGCGGGTCCAGGGCATGCAGGGGCCCTGGTTGGGGGCCCAGGGGGTGAAACCCCCGGAAGCTCCTATCATATGGTTTTCAATTTTTTATTATCGCAATTTTTACTTTGTATGAAGAAAAAAGCTTGAGTTTTGACAGATTCCACAAAATGTTTCTTCCAAAGCATTTCCGATAGTATGAAGGCATTTCATTTTTAGCTCACCTCGACGAAGTCGAGATGAGCCGGCGTTGGCGTAGATTTTACCTAGATTTTCCAGATGAGTGACCAGGTTAAAGTTTTTGGAGCAGGTCCATTGCCAGGAACTATAAGCCCTACCTTGGATGGACACTACCACACTTGCTTCGGATTCTGGATCTGACCTAGATTTTCCAGATGAGTGATTAGGTTAAAGTTTTTGGAGCAGGTCCATTCCCAAGTAATTATAAGCCTTACCTCCAAACTTGCATGGATGATGCATCTAGGGATTGACACTACCATATACTTGCTTCAGACGCTGGATCTGACCTAGATTTTCCAGATGAGTGATTATGTTAAAGTTTTGGAGCAGGTACATTTACTTCACTTTAAACCCTACTTTGACCAAACTTGCATGGATTGGTCATGGATGGACTTGCATGGATGGATTGGTAGTTTCCATCTAGGGATGGAAACTACCACACCTACTTCGGATGCTGGATCTGACCTCGATTTTCCAGATGAGTGATCAGGTTAAAGTTTTTGGAGCAGGTCCATTCCCAAGGAACTATAAGCCCTACCTGGACCAAACTTGCATGGGTGATGCATCAAGGGATGTACACTAACAACCTGCTTCGCGTTCTGGATCTGACCTAGATTTTCCACATGAGTGAATTTAGACATTTTAACCAAATTAGCATGGATGATGATGTATCTAGGGATGGGCACTTCTAGACTTCCTTTGGATTCTGAATCTGATATTGATGGACATTGATCTTGGGATGTACACTAACTAGGAAAAAATATGATGTGAGATTTGCCTTACTTATAAATAACATTCGTCGAGGTGAGCTTAGTAATCTTTGATTACCTATGTTTAAAAGAAAGTTCGGATATATTTTTGTTACCCTTGTTTAGAATTTTGATAGAGAGACAGAGAATAGGAAGAAAAAATAAATAAAAAAATATAAACAGAAAAACCAATGTTTGATATGGAATATATTTCACAAGAGAGTTTTTTCCTAAATATTTATAATATTAGGAGTGCGATATCCAACTACGTATACAACATCAAATATCCATTTAAATTACTATTACAATTTCAATTATTGATTGTTTTTAAAGTAAAGTACTCGTGCAACGCACTAAATTTGCATTTTAAACTACCAGGGGAATGGATAGTTTATATAATTGCTTATTAAGTTTTTATATAAAAAAAAATGTCCTTGAGTTCAAAAAAAAAAGTTAAAACGAGAGGAAAACTGTATCAAAAATCCATTAAAAGAGCTGAAAATTTTATGGTTTATATCTATGAACAAAATAATTCTGGAAAGCCTGGGTCTTTTTTTAAATTTCATATATTTTTAACTTTTATCTATTATTGAAATTTTGTAATCAATTGTTGTTGAAAATCTGTGTATTCATTTGTGATGTTGAATACAGACCCCAGGGGGAAGGGGTCATGAATATCACAATTTTTACTCCCCTTCACACATAGATGCTATATGTCAAATTTGGTTGAAATTGGTTCAGTGGTTCCAGAGAAGAAGCTGAAAATGTTCAAATGTTAACGCACGACGGACGACGCACGCCGACGGACGAAAACAGATAGCAATAGGTCACCTGAGTAAACTCGGGTGACCTAGAAAGCTAGTCTAACACCCATTGAAAAAAGTGTGCGCTGTCTTGATTTACTTCTCCGTTTAAGCTGCCATCTCAAAATATTTCTAACAATGATTTACCACCATTTTATCTTACTACTTCCACAATAAAACATTCCCCTCAGCGACACAACCATTTTAATTAACAGTCCCCCTGGGCCTGAGACCGTTAAAAACTTCGCTGCCAGTTCAGCGATGGCAAGACATTTGGTCCACATCTTCGCTAGCCAAGGGTGACGATCCGCTCCTCTCCTCTTTTTACCATCGTCACCCTTAGCTATAGCGAAGATACCATTTAGTTGACACAAGTAAATAGACATACGGCATATTAGTTTTCCTATCTCCGATATCAGTACTGGGGTATACCCTTTGCATTGATGATTTGTTACTACTCACTGGTACGCACTCGCGTTGAATGGACGACAAGAGTTCGTGCCGGTTATCTCGTAAACATTAACTTTGTTTACATTTTATTTGCAGTTTACGTGTTTGTTTACTGCACTGACCTGTGCAAGTGTTGTAACTTTGTAACTTTCTCTCCTGCCAAAGAAGTGTTTTACAATACAGTAGCTATGTAGCATACGTCCGTCTACACAGATGAAAACAGAATAAAACATGGCAGACAAAATCTTTTCACGAATCGTGTTCAGCTTTAAGGAGGAATGCCACATCAGAATTTCATTTAATTGATCTTTAAGACATAGAACACTCATATTATGCATTTATTAACAGTAAATTTTAAACCATAAAGCATCTAATTTGCATAAAACTTTTTTTTATTTTCTATGAAAAAACGGAAAATGGAAAAAAGGTTTTTATAAAATAATTAAGAGCTAATATCGGACTTTCAATGCTGAAACCATAACTTAACAGGGATCATCTGGGATGTCTCAAAGATCTACGAGATAAAAATTTGGTGTGGCATTCCTCCTTAATTACAGTAGCTTGTGTCTTAGATACCAATTATCCTCAAGGCCCGTGGATCTCTCGTTTTCATAGAATAATAGAAGTTAAAAATGACAGAATTTGTATTAATAACATAAAAACCTTACAGATGCAGTGTTTTATTTCTTTATTGATAAGTGTGATTTTACAGATAGACAGAAAGGGGAGACAGAGACAGTATAACAAAGTTTCTAAGTACAAAAAACAGTCTCTAGAGACATCTATCTTAGATGTGCCAGAAAAAGAAAAATCCCAGTGTCATTAAATTAATCGATACAATTCAATGCACTCAGGTGGTGTTCTTAAATCTGCTGAAACATAAAATGGCACATTCAACATATTCATGTTCACATGATTTTACTATACAAATCTTAATGTCACAATTCTCAAGTATCTTAAAAAAATATTTACTGTTTTAAAATATGCCATATTTTATCTTGTTGGCAAATTCACTAAAAATCAGCCACATAGAAATCATCTGCAAAACAGAAATTTCGAAAAATAACACTACCCTCCATCCCATAATTCTGTGTATTGTATATTTTGGGTAACCCATTCCATCCCCCAATTTAGGGATGATTGCTCCCAGCACTCTGTCAACATAAATATGCTTTTATCAAAATAAAACACAAAAATAAATACTTTGATAATTAAGTGATTTTTATGTCTGGATAACAACTATTTAGTTTCTACCTTATATATTATGGAATACTTGAGTATCCATTGTATAGCATACGATCAGTTTTAATACATATAGAACAGCTAATATTTACAATGTGAACACATTTTTCTTTTCATAATACCTCATAACTTTCCTTACTTTCTTTTTAAAAGAATTTTTCAAGTGCTTGCATAGAATATCAATAGTGAAAATATTATAAAATCAAATTTTTATTTTCACACTACTTATTTTTTTTTTAATTACAAAGAAAAAAAATCCAACAATCTTCAAGTCATGAAAAAACCAGTGTCAACAAAACAAATAAAACAAAGCACCGAAAAACGGGTGTGATGTACAATGAGGCTCTTGCGTACATGTACTTTATCACATTCAAAGAGAGACAACTGAGCACTAACCCAACGACCACTAATGCATGATTCCATAAAACTCCATCTCTCCTTACATGATTATTTTAATATGACATTCTGACATCCTAGCAATTTCCTAAAGAAGGAAAACAAAACTGAAATGACGTCACCTGTTGAACCAAAGACTGAAGTGAGCTATAATTATGTCATTGAAATCTATGAAACCTGACCAAAAAAAAAATTAGGACATAAAAAATTGTGAAATCTTCCATAGAGACGGTAAAAGACAAACACAAAGTAATTTTTTTGATCTGTAATCACATTCATAATTCTTCAACTAACATTTTCAATATCTTCTACAAAAACATTCTCAAGTTGTTTAGGCCTACATGCACCTATGACATTCAAACCACTCCCTCAAAATGGACTTTTTAGGCAAGTAGACTTTTTGTCTTGATCTTGGCACTTGGGGGCTCACCATGTCAGTAGAGTGCCTATCTCCTTTCCAGCACTACAAAGTCATGAATTTCACACCACACAACTACCAACACACTAGGATGTTGAAGGATTAGCTGACTTAATACGACCCGACCCAGATTTAGAGGTCATGAGGCGTTCCACCATCGTCCTGGCATATCTGAGTCTGCTGGCAAGTTCTCGGGTACATCCAAACTTTTCAATACCACTCAGTTTAAAGACATGAAAATCTCTCTTTTCATCGATGTATGTGACTGCTTGCATTAGTGGACATAAAATAATCTTTGTATGGTCTTGGAAGAAATTGATCTGAAAGAAATCAGCAAGTTACCAATTTTCTCCCTCTTATTTTTAATGAAGATTTAATTAAGTATGTGTACCCTAAAAATAGAATGACCCTTTCTCCAAACTTATTGAGCAGCCTTATTAGATGGAAGGAATAAAATTCAATTTTTTTTCTAAATAAAAGATATAACAACCTTTGATTTACACTTACTTGTAAAGTTCCATTACTGAGGTGCAAAACAATGGCACTCCTCGTCCTAAACCAGTGCCTGAGGAAAGGCAATCTTGTCATGTCATCTCCCTCTCTGGGTGTCATGTTGGCTCCAGCCTGTGCAGGAAAAATAAAGTGTCTGAACAAATGTACGAACAAAGAGAAATCAGAGAATCAATAAGCAGTGATTCATTTTGAAAATGGTTATCATGGGTCCAAAGGACCCTTCTTAATGACAACAATGAGTCCCGTGCCAAAATCAATGCGTCCAAATCCAAGGGTACCGTATATTAGATGTTACACAGGAAATTCTGGTGAAATAAAAAAGGGTATTGCACAAAAGTGCAAATGTTTTATTGTAGCTGTGAATGATTTATACTTTTACTATCAATGGTCCAAGTAAGAGTACATGATTTTGTGTCATAAAAATAATATATTGTCCACTGTGCACTTTGGTTCTATTTTTAGATCGTACATACGATCTCACACATTGTATCAGTCATAAAAATGCACAGAAGCAGAATGAAGTAAAAAAAAAGTTTAAGAAGAAATGACAAATAGTCAGAAATAAAAATGATTAAATTTTATACTTCTTAGCTTGTAAGGAAAAACCGAAAAGAAAAAAAAAAAACAATGATACAGGTTACAGCTTAAATACAAAGGTATAGTATTCGTTTCAGAAACGTTCCACAGTATAGACATAATCAGTGATAATCGAACTATGCTATCTAACTTTCAAATATTTCCTGATAATTGCTTTTAACTGCAGTTGTGAAATCTGACCTGTTGTTGGCAACCTTATACCTGCTAAAAATCGTTCATGCATATCGCTTAGCACGTGGATATGATGCAATCGGTCAAGTTTTGAATCAGATTATACCGATATAATTTAAAATAGTACATGTCCTTCTATAAATTTATTGCGTCCATTGGGATGCACATTTATTGAAATAATGCGTCCTGAGCAAAATTTGTGCGTAATTTACGCAGGACGCACATCAAAATGAATCACTGAATAAGAAATGGAAATAATATAAAATGAAATTCATAATTTTATGATCATTTTTTAAGGACACATGCAACATAGTTTTGAATTTTATTTTTTTCATTCTTTGTGTAATTTATGAGTTCCAATAATGGAAGGACCTTTGTGCAATTTTATTATGCTTGGTAATGCTGTACACCTCCTCTGAATCAAATTTTGAGGAAATACCAGCTGAAACTATATTTTTCTTTATAAAAAAAAAATAATAATAATATAAAAAAAAAAAAAAAAAAAAAAAAAAAAAAAAAAAATTCATCGTATCTGATGATATATTTTTTTTAATCTAAGAACATCTGATGGTACAATGATTTAAATTAAGAATATCTTGGAATTTTATCAGTAGGAAATTTACATTGTAAAGTACATGTACATGTATGTTGCGTATGACCTTAAATTTGAAATATCTCTTGAAATACAAGGTTACCTTGAGTAGATGCTCATTCATGTAGTTTCTGAAGTATTTTAGCAGAGTAACTTTTTTGGTAAGGGTTTCTGGGAACACTTTGAGGGTGTGGTAATGCTCAGTGCCATCTCTCTCTATATACTGCACATTCCTAAATTGAACAACACCATTACCATTTATCAAAAATATTATTTGTGTTTATAATTTCACTTATTGTTTAGAAGCAGAATTGTTGTTATAGAAAGAGAGAAAAATAAACTTCCCCCTTCCATTTTTTAAAAATTATAATGTCAAACAGCTTTAAAAGTTTCCCTTTCACTATAACTTTTCAAAAACACTTACTCTCCGTTGGCTAGAAGGATGAGGCGTGTTGAGTCATTGAATAGTACTCCTACACTGTTGTCACACAGCTGATAGCCTAGGCCATACTTGTCCGAGTAATCTACCCACTTACTGACCCAGTAAATAGGAATAGAAGCAGGGTCTTCTGCCTCCTCTATAAAAGTCAGAAAATTCTGATCATTCCATGAAACATAATAACCCTTCTCTGGTATTTCCACTTTGATTTTTGATTTTATAGTAAAGCTAGTAAATGCAAATATTTAAAAGGCAATTTTTGAACAAAAATTTTTAAAATCTTAGTTGAATTACCCTCTTGTATTTGGATTTTTTCCGATGGTTTCGATGCTATCACAGTCGAAAGGACGGCAAATAGGTCAGATAAATAATAGTCTGCCGGTTCATCACCTACAACACATAGAACAAATTTACATAAAAAAATACTTCAGATTTTAATCTTTCTATTTGTACTTGTTGAAACATTTAATCTCCAAAATCATTTCCGAAATTCTTCTCCTGCTTACTTCCTTTCCTTCGTCCTTCATCAGCGTCTTGTTCAGATTCTTGTGGATACTTGTCATCTTTTTTCATGTCTGTTGGGGCAGTCTGTGGCCGTGAATTTCCATCTGAGTCAAGAATAAAAAAAGAAATCAAAACTGGTACTTAGTTCAATTCTTTTTCTTCCTTTTAGTTTCTGAATGTTATGATACAGATAAATTTTGAATTTTCTTTTTGTTTACCAGCTCTGTTGATTTCTAGTAGAGGTCGTCTTGATAATGCCTCTGAGCGTGCTAGTGTATCAAATCTGGGAGCCATGCTCAGGCAACTGGTAGGTAGTCTAGGGGGAAGGTAACCTATAAAGAAACATTTCTTCCTTTAACTATAAAACTAAAAATACAACGATCTTTATTTTAATATGCTTTCATGTGATCTCAAACAGATTTCTAAGATTTTTTTGTTTTTTGTTTTTGGCATGTGTCTATTACCTGAGTGAAAGAATTCGTCCTCTAACAGAGCTTCCATTC